CTTAATTCCTGCCGCTCGCTACTAGAGGGTACTGGCTCCAACGCTGGCGAGTTTCGACGATGAAGTCATATGTCTTTTGTAGTTTAGACATCGCTAAATCTTCTTCAAAATTAATGGCACCGCAAAAATGGCGACGATTTCGGCCAAAATCATAAATAAATCGTGTAATCAAAGTATAATACATCGGTCATCTCAAACCGGTGAATGGGACGAAATAATAATGTAATCAAGACAAATAGTGTAACACAATGCACTGTCGAAGCCGGAAACGCTTTTCAAAAAATGGATGAGATGATGCAATACCCGAAGCGGGCGTGATGTACGTCCGTCCCGCTCGAGTGATCTCGCGAGACTAGACAGACATCGCTGAAAGTGATTCAACCCTCACAGGTTAGATTTCTCGACGCCAAAGAGATTTTCTACCGTGGGATTGCTCTGTTGCCAGAGAGATGGGAAAAAGTAGTAGAAAATGGAGGAAATTACTTTGATTAAGGTATTCATTCATCTTCCCTTCGAAACAAATCAATTTTGGAGACGAAAAAACGGCAGGAATTAAGTTTAACACCTAATATTTGTAATGGAACGTCGAGTGAAGTTTGTTTATCTTAGAAATCTTAATTTTACGTAAATATTAATAAATATCTTAAACAAGGACTCTCTCTTCTTTAAATAACAAAAAATAACCTAAATGTGGGCTAATGAGAATCATCTCATAGTGACTCTCATTATCCCACATTTAGGTTATTTTTTGTTATTTCACGTAAATATTCGTAGTCGGACATAGACTGGCGTTATTTGAACTTCTTGATTTTTCAAACAACACTACTTCTATGAATATCTATATATAAAATTACGATTTTCTAAGATTTTGTCTCAATCTATGTAATTTTTCGTAAAAATTTTTTCGCCAGTGGTGATAAATAAAAGATGTTATAGATATAAAGTTCAATAATGGATAATTTTTGAGCGATGATGTATTAAAGATATAAAACTTGTGCTTACAGAGCATTTTTGATACACTGTAGTTCAAAACTATCTATTATACATTTAGGTTGCTTTCCATTTGATGACACAAATCGACACAAGTCGACACAAATGTCGTTCTATCCTTCTTGATATTCAGAGAGTGACAAAGATAGAACGACACTTGTGTCGATTTGTGTCGACTGTGTCTCCTAAAAGGAAAGCAGCCTTACCTTATGTCTGACATCTTTTGTGCACTACATTATAAGCTATATTATATGCATGTAAAAACTAACTCATTTCACTAGGACTAATTATATGTATACGCAATTTTCTGCATATAATTAGTAATGGGGTTCTTTGCCGAAGTATATTATTAGATGCATACGCTTTAACGCTCAACATAAATTTTTTTATCAACGCAACATTCAGAAATAAAAAGTAAAGTTCTAAAATTTTAATTTTTAATTTTATCATTTTGAAAGTAATTTTATTGTAATGACGATATCACTTTGATTAAAATGAGAACAAACAATTATTTAGATAATTTTCACAATTTTTAAAACATTTTTATTTTGTGTTTTACTCACTTTTTTACTTATATTTTAATTTTTTCACTTTTTTCATTGTTTTAAATTTCATGGCACATTTCCAACTTATTGTATTAGTATATACACCAACACCACTTGAAAAACTCTGACTTACTGTTAGATCAAAACAAAAAGATTTGAAAATATATTGATAATTCTAATTTATGAGCTTTCCATAAATTAACAAATCTTATTTTTTAAAATCAGTTTTAGGTATATTTTAGCATAAATTTTGATCAAGAGAGAGAGAGATACAACTGTATTTTATTACAATTTGAATCTAATTGAAATCATAAGAATTGAAATCATAAGAATTTGAATTTTGTAAAAGAATAGTTTCTGCAAAAAAGGAGACTTATTCATTTTAATGAAGTATTGTATCTCGAATTTCTGACTTATCGTTAGATAATGGCTCTTAATTGTTGCATAAAATTATGAAAAGTTGCAATAACGGTAGCAGTAATGTACTTACCGGAATGTTCATACTTGTGTCTCGTAAGGGAACTGTGTTTGGAAAATGTTTTCTCACACCGATCACAGAAATAAAGACCCTGCTCGTTTTCTGTTGCTGTAGGGGTTATTTCCGATTGTGGTGCAATTTCGCTCTCGCCCTTTGCGTTTACTTGATTTTGATTCTAAAAGATAATACAATAAATATGAATTATACGTTCGTTTATAAAATTTAAAATTACTTAATCTTACTTTCTTTCATTACCTTTGTGATTATCTCTCCACTAGGAGGTATACGCTTAGTTTCAATGGGATCAGTAGCGGTTTCTTCGTCTATGACTAAAGGTAAATCCTCGAGGTCATCGTTGTCGAGGGGGACAGTTGGAGCTGCAATATCATCCTTCTGTTCGCATGGAGACGAGGTGTTTCTGCTTGATGTATCACTATCTTTGGTCGCCGATATAACAAGCGCTTCTTTCTTCGATAAATCTAAAGGCTGCTCAATAATAGATGGATTCTCTGGAAGCGCTAAAGGTACCAAAGCTGGTGGCATTTTCGATTCTCTTCGATCCCTGGCACGTGAATTTTGAAACCAAACCTATAAAATGATCATATAATTGATAATTAATTATCACAAGTTTATTAAATAGGTATTATTAAGTTTATTAAAGTTTATTAAGTTTATTAGTTGTTTTAGAAAATATTCAAATTTTCAATCTAATTCTCTCATTTAGACAGACAATTTAATCTGTCTTTATTTTGCATACCTGTACGACACGAGTAGGAAAATTGATGTAATTGGCGATCATGATGATCTCCTCCTTTTTAGGTCGCGGATTGATGGCATAATAACCTTTCAAAACAGCAAGCTGTTCATCATCTATGAGCGACCTAGCTCTGACTCTTCTACCGTGGTCGTTTTGAGTCTGGTTACCCTCTTCTTCATCTTCTGAATCTGCCTCAGAACTTTCCTCCGCTTTTCTCTTGGCTGATCTCGATGTCGGATGATTGATATTCTCGAGCTTCGCGGCTAAACCTTCACTTTGAGAATCATATTGGTCTGTTGTGCCCCAATCCGGACAATGTGTCATTTCATTAGACATTTCGCTATCTTGATCCTATAAATAAGATTCTAGTTCACAAATAGGAATGATTTCATACAATTTTTTACCAATGACAACGCAACATTCAGAAATAAAAACTAAAGAGTCCTAAAAGTTTTTTTATTTTATCATTTTGAAAGTGATTTCATTGCAATAACATCACTTTAATTAAAATGAGAGCAAACAACATTTTAGATAATTTTTACAGTTCTTGAAATATTTTTATTTCGTGTTTCACACGCTTTTTTGCTTATACTTCTAAATTTTTTCACCTTTTTCATTCTCTAAAATTTCGTGATACACTTGGATTGTTTGTTTTAATTCAACTTACTGTAGTAGTGTACATTGATACCACCTAACCAGTTGAAACATCCTGACTTACTGTTAGATAAAAAATTAAATTTGAAAATATTCATAATTCTATTTTATGAACTATCCATAAATAGTTATTAATAAAATCTTATAGCTAATTCGATTGCACTCAATGCGCGTTAAAGTTGTGTGTCGTATATAAAAAAATTTTAGATATCTTTCGATATATTTTTATTTATTATTTTATTTAGAGATCTCCGTCATCTTTTATAATAAATATGTTATAATTCGAAATGTAATCTAAGAGAGTCTACAATTATTAAATTTAATTACTAATTTACATTTTATATTATTTTATATATATTTTATGTATATATAGTATTTAACTTTTAGAATTTTACGCTATTTGTTGTCTCAATAATAACAAATTAATTCTCATCGTGAACCTTTCCCCATAGAGCAAATAAAAAAGTTTCTCGTTAAATCTCTCATTACATACCTGATAATCCTCTTCGAACTCCCGTTTCATCGTGGCTGGAGACGTGGATAGCTTCCGCATGTTCGCTTCAAGCAGCTGCTTCGTCACGGAGGTGTTTACAGTTTCTAATATTCGTCGAACCGCATCCAGACCTTGCAACGGATCTACCGGTGCGGGAGACTCCTTGCCCTCAGTGCCCTCCGTTCCCTCAGAGTCTGCTGTCGATGGACTCATCACTTCCCGATGCGTCTCAAATTGCTCAGTAATGTGGTCAAATCGCTTAGCGTGCAATTGGTTCAGCAACTTGCCTATCGAAGACTGCAGGAAATAATTTCCGAATCCCATCATGTGAGGCAACAGAGTTGGCACGTCATAAATACCTGCATATTAAACCATTCAAGTTGAAGAATGATGATAATTATCAAAATGACAGATATATTTGAAATCATTTTAAATATTGAAGTAATATTAGTTTTTTAATAAAGTGTTTAAAGTTAACTGATCAAATTGTTTGAAATTCGTGTGCTCAAATATAGTATATCGTGTAATAATAAAGATATTTTTATGCATCAATCCTATTCTTGAAATTGGTATGCATAATTATATACATGTACATTCATTATCATGTGCCGCGACTGCCGCGCGAATTTCGAAAATAATTTGATTCGGTGAATCTTATATCTATTTAAAAATTATTATACCCTCGGTACTTTTTGATTTATTATGATTTTTTTTAGCATAATCTCAGAAGTCTATTATTAGGAGAGATCTAGAATACTGCATAAAAATTTATCGTTATCTCGACATTTTTATTGCAGAAAATCTGTTCGAAATTACCCATCAAATTCGTAGATGAAAGGAGAATAAATATATAACACATGCATAAATGTAGTAATATATATATATCTATATTTTTGGAAGAAATATTGATCTAAGTGATAAAATTAATTACCTGTTCCCTCTCTTTGTATCTCTTGATACTCCGACGGCGATAACTTTGGCAGAATCGGCAGAAACGTATTATTGTTGGCTGTCAGCAGATCGACGTCACGTCGTCCCGATAAAACCTGATGCGTCTTTTTCTGTCCCCGATCGACATTGGTTATGGTGTTCTGCCTCGATTTTTTCAGATTCATTATCAAGCACTTTTTCGCTGTCATGTGGCTCGAATATGATCCAGAATGAGAGAAACGCTTGCCGCAATTGTTGCACTGGAATGGCTTCTCACCACTGTGAATGCGCAGATGTTCCTGCGAGAAATGGGGGAAGACGCGTTTAAATTTACATATTTTTTCTCTTTTTTTTTTATTCTTTTACAATTTATATAACACGCAAAGAGAAAGAGATAAACTCAAAGTAGAAATGGATACTAAATTAAAGTCGTTAATATCGGTGATATAGATAAATAGAATCTAATACAAGGAAAAGTAATATAATAAAAAGCAAGAAATATAGTAAGAAATAATAAAATAATATTACATGTCATAACACGCTTATTATTAATATATAATAACAAAACACCTTAAGATGATGCTTGAACTTGAAGGCCTTCTCGCAATGAGGACATTTAAACTTTCGTAGAACAGCACTTTCATCATGGCTAATCATGTGCCTCTGCAATCGGTAGACGTTGGCGAAGGTTTTGCTACACACCTTACAGGACTGTCGAATTATTGAGAAAGTTAGTCAAACAAAGATAAATAGTTACTCACGAAACTGATCAGTATTATTGCAAATTTCTTTTGAAAATTCATGAACAAAAATATCTAGTAAGAGGTCAAAGATATTTATTCGTTTATGTGTTTACGTAAAAGATATTCGTCGAGTGTTTTCTTCGAATCAGTTAATCACAGATAATTTCTGTGTAGTATATTTGATCATAGTTTCATGAGTAGACTGCGAAACTTTATGCAAAATACTTAACTGAATATTAACTATCGTACAGTTTTAGCAGTCAATCGTTGTTCGTTAAAGAGTTATTAAAAGGTGAAGTAAAAAGATTGAGATTGCCATCTGTAAATTTACAAAATTGCAAAATATGCATTTTATGCAAAACATTCAGTTAAGTATTTTGCATAAAGTTCCGCAGTCTATTCATGAGTATATATATGTAATATGAATGTATAATTATCTCACAAATAGAAAATGTTTTAATACATCATGGACGCATGTTATATTTATACTTGAATTTTTCTTCGAGAACTACATGCAACTAGTAACAAAATCAATCGATCTTTTCTACTTGTTTTTTAAAAGAGAAATTACATTCTTAATTCACTGGTTAATCTAAGAGAAATATGTCGAAATACATATTTATTTTAATCGCATTAATTGTGCGTATTTTTTATTACATGTTGCAATCTGTCGAAATTTCAAATTTAAGATACCTTCATAAGAAAAGTTGACCAGAACACATTCACATTCAAAATTAGTACGATTCAGCACACAATTTTTTAGATAATAATTTGTAACTGTAAAAAAAAATATATAAATATTTAATGAAAGATTCGCGTCACTGAGTAAAATTACATATATTAAAACATTTTAAATATTAATTAAAAAAGAAAATAGATAGGGGAATATAAAACAGAAAAAATATAAGAAAAAAAAAACGTGTTTGTCTCCATATAATATCGCGAAATTAAATATGTAATTAACCATGTATCACTTGAGTTATGTATGAATAAGTTATTGTATAAAGTTATTATCTACAGAAATGCATCTATTTTCATTTATCTATTTATTAACTTAATAAATTGCAAGCTGGATACTTCGCACCTCACACTGTCACTTATAACTTTCCACGTTACTCATTTATATGCTTATCCCAACACCGTTAAAAAAAGAATTTAGAAAATAAGAAACGGTAACATCTACTACCTATTTACGAACATTCGTGTCTCCCTTCCTCTCGGAAAATCGCGTGCGAAGAGGTACGAAAACGGCGCCTCTCAGCGGAAAGCTGACTGCCGCTTTTGCAGGGATATAATCGATAAGTCCGCGCGCGGGACGCGGCAAACAAGGGGCTCTTCCCCGGTAGAGTGTGTGTCCTTGACGGGTCATCGCGATCACTCACCACTTGGGAGAACTGGGCGTTGAGATCGTGCTTGTCGATGGTACAGGACGTTTTGTGCGTGTCCTCGAGATGAAGCTGCAGGACACGGCCGTCCCGACAGGGGATGCCGCACTGAGGACACCTTTCGCCACCCTGCTGCTGCTTCGCGGATGATCCGCCCTCGCTGTCGCCGCCACCACCCACCCCCCCGCACGTACCACCGCTGCCGCCACCACTTCCATCGCCGGCAACACTTCCACCTCCTGCGGTTGGCGCTCCACCCGCGCAACCTCCGCCCACCTCCGTATCCACGACACCTGCGTCGTCCTCGCTACAGCCTGTAACACGCGCACACGTGGCACGGTTTTTATATTTCACCTCGGCAGCGCGCCATCGCACAAAATATTATACACCAATCGAGTCACGCATTCAAGTACTGGTACTATTCAAGATATACGCGTGATATGTGTGATATTTCACTTGTTATCATTTTATAATCAAGAAATATTGTATAATCCATCTCTTCACATTTCCGAAATTACCATTTCCTACTGACAATGAGAATCCAAAGATATTCGGAATTCGATGTACTTTCTCTTAATCCTAACTTTATTCTTTCAAATTTAAATTAATGTTTTTATTTTTTTAAAAAGAGAGTTGTACTTTAATCGCTAATATCGCTTTAACGCATAACGTATGGGAAAAAGCGTGTTTAATAATGTAAATTTCGTAATAACAACACAAATAAAAACGAACATAATTTCAGTAAATTCAATTATCGATTGATAAACACAGGATATTATACGAGCAAACAGAATGATCTCTATGTTTATTTGTACAACAGAAGTATTTGGCATAAAGTAGCATATTTTGGTATATCCTCAACGTCATAAGTTAATTTTTGATTATCACATTGAGATGTTCGAATGTACAGTGAGTGTTCATACAAGTTTTATCTAACATACAGTTTTTCTCGCATATATCAATATTAATAGGTTTTTTTGGCAATACATGCAATATCTAGAAATTTCAAGCTTTCGATCTGTAAATAGTTGAGAAAGAAATTTTGGTTTTGGACACCCATCGAGCATTCAAAAATTTATTAAGGACTATTGTGAATTAACGAATATATATATGTATGGATATCTTGAAGAATAATTATGGATCATCTGAAGATGGCTTAATAATAAGCTGAAACATGTAATGGTTTTATAAACTTTAATTAAATTTCTTTGTATTTATGTGATATATTTATATTCAAGTATTTATTTGACTCTTACATGTACTTTTTAATGTCGATTTAGTCATAAGTTAAACTTATTTGAATGTTATTAGTTTTAATTACCGGATAAAATTTGATTGATTCAATTTTTGTATTCGCAATGCAGATATCGCGAATGAACGATATGCTGACTGAAATCTGGGACGTTTCCATCAGTCTTATAATCAGGAATTAAAATGCGTAGATATAATTATGCTAACAATAAGATCGAATTTTAACGTTACGGAGAGATCTTTCATATTTATTAACAGTAAAATCCAATCGATACGAACATTTTTCACATCTTTGTCATATTAAAAATTATACATTTTAAGCGCGACATTTGGTTCCAATTACTTCTACATATATTAAAGCATTCATATAAGTGATTCATTATTTTTAAACATAACGTACAGACAAATCTTAAGCCATCACATTTTAAGCATATATATATATATATATATATATAAATATATAAAAAGTACGTACATACGTATATACAAGATTTAAAAAAAAGATTTTAATAGTAAAATAAAAGCTTGAAATCTTTTTTTAATTTCCTATATGTATTTCTCTCCATGTGATTATGTTTCTGATTGTTTCATTAACAATAATTTTTCAATTTTAATCAAATGTTTGTAAATGAGACCGAACTTTTATCAAATATCTCTAGCAGGAATTGATTACCGACGAGGTACTGGCCTAGTATAAATTTTTACATGTCAGTACAGGTATGATACCGAAGAAATATTAAGATGATAGTAATGGGCCAAGATAATACTAAATACAGTACGAGAAGTTACTGTACTAAATACAGACATGATACTGCAAATATGCTGTCGTTGTATTGTCTCGATACTGAATCTGTTTAGAATAATTTCACCGGGCAACAAAATTAAAATTTTTAAAAGTTGTTTTAAAAATATATATTGATTTTATATGGGAATTTGATGATCTAAGTCCAAAAATAATCTTAAATTTGTTTCATTACCCACAATTCTTTTACAACAAAAAAATTAACTCTTTGAATACATTTTAAATATAATTAAAATAGAAAATAAAAAATTGTACAACTCTATTATTTAAATCTTATGTAAAAGGTTTAGTAGTTCCTTCTTCTTTTGCCAAAAAAGTCGCGTCTATAACTTTTCCTTTTGTGCCTTGCTTTCCAATTTTCACGGTGCAACGTCCAGCAAAAACGTCCCATTCTCGTGGAAGAGTATATAAATTTTTTCACCATGCAGTGTTAAATCCACATTTATATTTTGTAGAGTACAAAAAAAATAAACGTGTAAAGTAACTATGCAGTATAATATTTTTGTATTTTTCGAATTTAATACTTAAAAATGCGTCAAAAATATAATTCGAACATGCTAAATCAAAAAGTAATATAAAATTAATAAAATGAAATATAACAAAAAGATTATAGTCTTAAAAATATATTGCTGTTTTTTGCCTTTTTAATACCATTTTTCTCGAAATTGTGACGTGTAGCCAAATTTGGACAGTGTATTCGTATTCAGCAAGTAAGAATACATTAGAAACAGCTAAAATAGTTAAAACGATTTTTTCCATGTGTTTTAATATAGACACAATAACAAAAATGTACTGATAATGTACTGTACTACTATTCAATATTGATCCACACATTAGCCCAGTACTATACCATTATTTTTTAAATATTGGTCCAGTACAGAAATAGGAAACTCATTTTTCGGTACAGGATCAGTGCTTCGCCAAGATTCAATACTGGTCCATCCCGTATAAATCCCCACTTAGGATATTTCGCACGCTACATATTCATTTTGTATTAATTTTTCAGCTACACTCTTATAGACGTTAACAGTCAGTAATCTATACATATATAGAAATCTGTGTGGTTCTTTAATTCTCGGAAATATCTTTTGATAATACAATGCTGTTATATCTGGAACATTCTATACATAAAATAACAAAAATAAATAAGATTTTGCATATATTTAGATTTGATAATAGAGAATGAAAAAAAATTATATAGAGAATAGAATCAAACGTTTCATTTTTGGCATGCAACTCTTATACGGGGGGGGGGGGGAAAAAACATAATAATTCTACTCATGTCGAGTTAAATATGTCTAACGAAATTATTATACATGTTTAATGACATGATCAAATATCTATTAAAAAATTTATCCCGATCATAAATGAGATTCATGTTTCTTACAATTAATCATTGGCAGTAAATTACATATTTACTGAGAAATTAAATGGTTAGCAATAATTAAACTTGCTAATGTTAACTATGGTTACTAGATACATCTAATGTATAATGATTAAAGTTTAGTTCTCTTGATAACAAATTAACTTCATTAAATGTTCAATTATTTATTAAAAATTTTATGTATCTATATGTTTATATTGATCCAGTTATTATTACTAATTATATTTAACTAGTTAGATATTCGTAAAATTGCATATCATATTTAGATTACATGCTTTTTGCCATCGAGATATTACTATCGATGCTGCTGCTGCGTGCTCGAAAGCCCGATCTATACATGAGACGCAGGACGCAAATCGCAAGTGAAACGTATTTCAGATTTGAAATAGTTGAAGTTCACCCAACTTCCTGCATTCTGCGTCCTACAACTATATTATAATTAAAATACGTTAGGTTAGTTTCTAGTTTTGCGACCTGCGACTCGCGTTCTGCGTCTTATATAGAATGGGCTTTATGCAGATCGGGCTGAAGCGAGACAACAAGTCCAGTGGCTGGGTATTCGGAATTCCAAGTTGGACCGCACGTGCAAGGTTGGCGGCGATCAATCAGCTACGCGTATCTGATGGCGAGTATCGGTTTACATGTGCGATGCGTGGAGTTAATCGTGACTACCTTCGGCAATTGCCAATACGCAATGGCTGGGTCACCACGTCAGTCGCATAATCCCCGGCATGACACACGTGCATCAGTGCGCACACGCATGTATGGAATGCGTACATACACTGGAAAAAAGACGCGTGCGCGATAGATATAATCGAATTGCGTAGATAGGGCGTAACGCCAGAACGCAAGCGGAAGAAATGCGTGATGAGAGGACGCTGCCAAATATTGTGAGTCGATCTTTAGGCAAAATGGAAAAAAAGTTGATTGAACCAAGGAAGTTTTTGACGAATGTCTCGAATCAAAGGTAAATTAGATAAGCTTAGTCTCCAGAACGATTTGAAGAATAATCTAACAATTCTCTTGCTGTCATATTTTCGGTATCACTGAAAGTAGCGTCTATTTAGAATTATTTTACGAGAAATATTATTAAAATGTTTTACAATATAGAGATATACATATATTTAGTTAATTTATAATTTATAGGATCTCTTAAAAATAAAAGTTGAGAGAACGTATATCGTAAGTTTTGTAAATAATTAAATATTAATATACATTACCGATTGGAAACATATGGAACATCGTTATGAATCATAAAGATTCTATTTTAAAATTCCTGTAGATCGATTTTACTGCACTGGCAGTATGCTCATGCTCGAAGAACTGGTATGTACGAAATGAACAAGATATCTTTTAGGTACCAAACACATGTCTATCGAGAAGTTCTACCTGAGAAGTTTTTCAAATATGTGGGGACAATGGCATCAGTCGCAATTTTTGATATTTTATTTTTGATATTTATGAACTCGATAATCATGATCTCATTAAGATCGTTAACATTGATAAAATATATATAAATGGATGAATCGATGAGAAAAAATACAATTTTTGTAATCGCAGACAGAAATACATATTCTCGCTACTCGCACACGCGTTTGTCGTTAGCTTCGCTCTTACCTCTCGGACACGTGTCATACACGTGGAATAGAAAAAGAAGTGAGAACGAAAGGACGGAACCAAGGGGAGGCAGCATTGTTCCCTGTATAGGTGTGCTATATGTAAAAGTGAATGTAGAAAAGCGGGGTAGGATGATCCTGTATAGGGTAGGTACGTGAAACACGAGAAAAAGTGGTACATGGTGGTGCCATTGAAATCTATGTAACTTTTCGGGTGTGCCCATTGTCAGTGAGACCGGATTAAAATACCCCTCGAAGTAC